ATCTAGATTAAAGACTGGTACTAGTTTTGGGAACTTTTCTGGCTCAAGAGTTGCATTTAGTCCAGTGAGAATTGTGTGAGGAAACAGCATAGAGCTAACTCCTTCTTACTAACGTTTCATTCTTGAAACATCTGTTAGCTAATTGGGGTTTTTTCCACCTTCTTACACTATCCTGTTGTGCAATGATAAAATCTCATAATCTCTGTTTCTCTGCTTCCCAGACTGTTCTGTTTATTGTGAACAGAATTTTCCAATTAATATTTCTAAAAAGAAGAAACTGCTTTACAATGGAACAATTGATTCACTTTATTTATTCTTAGCTTGTACTGATTGAGTCACAGAAATTTCTTTTGAGCACACGTGTTTTTCTATAGCATTTATAGAGACATCTATAGCAATTGCAGAACTCTTGCAATCATTAAGTCTCAGAGACTCCCGAACACAAAACGCAATACTAGTAAAGATATCCAATTCGCTCTAATTTAATGACTTCAATTTTGTGCTCATAATCTTGGAAATGGAAATACAAAATTTTATTTTCAAAAATAAATTTATTATTCTTACCTAGAAAAATAGAAATGCATTAGAAGTACATCCTTTTGTTTGTAAAGTCATCTGTTCAGAGGTTAAGAAATCCCAGATGAAAGCTTGCTGTGCAGCTGCAAATGTCTTTGTTTTTACCTAATGGCTATCTCATATAAGGTAATTAAAGGCCTGCAACAGAAGCTGAAACACAGGAGCCTCTGGTTCTATTAATTTTTAATCACTGTACTGCAGAAACATAAACTTTTATTAGATCTTGTATGGGAAAAGCTTAGTCACAGGGTTTCAAAATTGCTCCTGCATCAGAGCTGTGATCAGTCTGGTGGTGACTACATTTGGTGGCACGTTGCTCACAGGTCATCATTTGCCAAACAAACCATCTGGCAGGGAAACCAGCCTGAGAAAAAACCTGCCATCTCTTCCCCTTGGCTGCTTGTTCCTGCTCCTCAGCTTTGCCAGTACAGAGATTTGTAGGGCTCTTGCAAACCAGATGACCAAAGTGCTCCAGTCTACAAAGCAGCTTTGCAGTCTCGATGGCTCAGCTGAGGGACAGTGATGTCAGTACAGAGCAGAAAGGGAACGTTTTCAGCTGCTTTTCTACTGAAAGTGTAATGTTGAACCTTACCCACAAGCAGAGGGGAATTTTAACACAGGACTTGTACATCAGAGACGAGTGTTTTAACCAATGAACATCAGATGAGAATCCCTTGAACTCTTGTATTGGAAAAGAAAAGAGTGACCTTTATTTCATTTAGAAAAGGAAAAGGGTTGCTGCCTGCCTTCTGGTTAAGAATTTCAATTCTGAATCTAAAACAGAAACATCTCCCAATAAGCAGCAGTAAGGGAGCTTTTAAAGCTTATCCCTGGATCTCTTCTCTTTTTATTTTTCCTTTTCATTTAGCTTAGTACTGCAAGTTTTCTCTCAGAAGTTGTGATCAATCTACTTATATGTACATCAGTCACTGCGGTTACTAGGAAACCATTGGGTTTTTCCTCTAAAGAATTGTTATAAATAAGCACCATGCCATGAAATAAGATCCTGGTGTATACTGCCTCTGCTTCCAACATAATTAAGATCAGGAAAAATCTAATTTAATGTAATTTACTGGGTTACATTAAATTTTCTTGATGGATCATTCATACCTAATTGCTTTGGACTGCAGCTTCATTGTATTCTATAATCCTGAGAGTAAATTTGAATAAAGGATGAAGAAGGCTGAATAATACTTATGTTTCCAAGGTTCTGTCCTGGAACAGAAAAAAAAGCAACTTTTCCTCTGTAAGCCATGGGGGGAAAAACCTCACCCAGCTCCACTGGTGTCTTCAGGTCATGAAATCAAATTCCTCTTATGCTGACTCCAGAATAATTGTAGGGAAGAGTTAGTTTTGTATTCTTAAAAGCAGCTGTGGTACCAAAGAGCTGCAAAATCCACAAATAGTAGTATTCTTATTCTTCTTCTTCTTCTCTCTTAACCTTTTAAGGCCCAAATATAACTGAAGGAGAAAACTTAGAAAGTTGTGGAACTTTAATCGTTTACTGCAAAAAACTTTACCTGTATCTTTAGTTTCAAAATCCTTACTGCTGACATAAAGTGTAACTTTGGAGACACTGCAGTACCTAGGACTCCATAAGGCTGATCAGCTGTATGAATCTTAAAATACTTAGGAATGAAAATAAAAGTCTCTATTGTAACATAGAATTTCCAGTATGTGATATGCTGAATTTTAACAAAAAAACCTGGAAAGCATCCTAAATTTTGGAAATTTGCAACTTAGCAGACTTAAGTCAACTTGGAACCTTTAGACTATTTATTATTCTGTCACCACCATTTTCTTATTCATTTATTGAAGTATATTGACATCATTAATTGTTTAAAAAAAAAATAAAAGTTGAAAGTAAATATATTGCCTAGATCCATTCTTTCCAAACTCGTAACTTTTCTATTACCCACAGCTTTCTCATTTCATTTGAACCAACGTCCTCTATTCTTTTTGTTATTATTTTCATAGATCAATGTCATATTGTTCAGCTTGAGCCTCAACCAGACATCCTAGACCTCTTGGTTCTGTCAGGTGTGCCTTAACCTTTTCTATCTGTCTCTCTTATCTTTTACTGCATATACGAGCAGTTAGGAGGAAAGAACTTTCATCCTTAACCCCTTTGGTTACAGAATGGCAAAAACCAGCCCTGTTGTGATATTTAGCATCTACAAATTTTCCTTTGAAGAACAGCAAGGGATATGTTGGTTTTTGGGGCATATATAGAGGAAATTAAAGAGCTGAATTTAATTTCTTTTTTAACCCTAATAGGTTTAAATTCATCTTCCACATTCTAAGACACCACCTGAATTCCTTGTCTAGAAATTAGTGGCTAGAAATTAGTGTATTAGTACCACTCTTCATCACTGTATTAAAGCTACACTATTCTACAAAAGTGGATTTTAAATTAATTATACAAGATACAGCACATCATACAAATTGACCTGAGTTTAAGGAACTCTGTGGTTGGTAAGTCTATTTACTCCTGCTCGTTGTCACAGAAATTGTTTTATACTCTTTGGATAAAATACATGAAAGAAAGTTATACCTTGACATATTTTATTTATCTTTATTAGTAGGAAAGAGACACATTTTACATAGGAAATCAATTCCTTATGGCATTTAAAAGACATATGATCCTAGTTTCTGGATGAAAGGAAAGCAAGACTTTACTTCCTGAGATGGAAATGCAGCAGATTTGGAACATAGAATTAAAATCTAGAATCATTCATCTTCTCATGCTTAGGTTTGCATTAGATTAAGCCATAAAGTGACCATAATTGTGATGTAATCCCAAATAAAAGTAAAAAACCAATAAAGGCCTTATTTAATATAATGGTTAAAAGTTAGTCAAAGCAATAAAACCTTTAAGACTATTCACATTGTCAACTACTGCGTAGCTCAGAGCTCACCATAAACTTTAATTCAGTTTGATACAAAAGCTTCTTGAAGCAGAAAACATTTAATCTTTTCATCTCAGTCAAGTTTTGATAGCCAGTGTCAATTTAACCCAATGAATGAAGAGTGAAAATACACATAAAAAATTCATCCTGCTTGCTTGTGCCATGAAACCAATTTTATGATCATTAACATGCCACTGGGAATTCAGATTCTGGTTTTATTGTCTTCAGTGTCACTAAGATGTACCTTTTATTCTATTTTTCATTTAGTTGGGTTTTTTTCTGTCTTGGTCCCAGCATTGCTCTGATAGTCTCATGTTCAGGGGGAGCCATGGGGTTTTTTTCATGAGGAAGTGTTATGATCAAACTTTTCCAAATGAAAAGTGAGGAAAAGTTTTCCCAAGTCCAGTGAACATCATTCATGGTTCCAGCACTACTGGCCCAGCTGCTTAACTGTTTTGAAACAATGTCAGCATGAGCTGTATTCTTTAGTATTTGAGGCTATACCATTGCAGCTATTCTTTAATACCTCTGTGGTTGACATAGAAATATGATTTTGCATTCCTACAGATAATAAGTATATTAAGATAGTTTTAAAAGCATTATGTAAAGCCATTTTAAATTCAAACTTCAATATAAAATTCAAAAAAAAAAAAAAAAAAAAAAATTTTACAATTATCTTGCAAAAAGGGCTAGCTTTTATGACTTATGTGCCAAGTTACACGGCACAAAAACTTGTCCAGGAAATCACAGCAAAAAAAAAAAAAAAAAAAGACACATTGCATGAAGATATGCATTTTGGAAGTTTGTTTTTTGCTACTAAGTAAATCTCCGTTTCAAAAGGCAATATGAGGTAGGAAAACTATCAGGTTATAGAATTGGGTCATCAGTGTTACCTGAGTTTCATCACTGGCTTTTCACATGTGGTTTCCCATATTGCTGATTAAAGCAATGGTTATATGAGATTCATAAGCCCATCTGAAAAAGCGTCTTGCATATCCTCTTCCCAGACAGTATTCTGCCCTATCCCACCTTCAGTTCATTTTGGAATTACAGTGGTGCTTTGCTTACCTGATAAACTGGCATCATGTTCAAAGGACAAATGAAGTGGCATTTTTGGGACTAATCCCTTTGAAACCCCTGGCATTACTTTCATAGGCAGTGCTTCAGGTAAACAAGATGTGCACTGGTTATTTCTCAGTCCTAACTGATATAACTAAGACTTATTAAGTAGAAAACACACAAATACAACACTCTGAAATTTTAAAAAATAATTCTGACCCTAAATTATGTCTGAGTTGGGTCTGGGACCTTTGGCCTTGGCTGGGACTCTGTCAGCCACTTGCACCCTCAGCCACAGGGAATACCCTCTTCTGCAGCCCCAGAATGGCCCAATGGAGCAACTCTGCTCTCCAGGCACCCTGGGACAGTAAGAAGTTAATCCGCTGGAGTCTGTGTCCGTGGAGAAAGGCTTCAAAGCTCACTTACATGCTTTGTGTTCATGTCTCCCCGCTCCAGGTCACAACCTCGGCTCAGCCAAGGTGTCCCGGGCGCAGACATTTCCCAGCTACCCGTCGGAGCAGGGCGAGGAGCACCAGCAGCCGCTGTCGCTGGCCAGCAGCTACGCCTTCAGCTACGGCTCGGGGCTGGTGCAATGACAGCCGGGGGCAGCCGGCCCACACGGACAGCTGAGCCTGGAGCTCCCGCCAGGACCGGGGAGCCGCTGGCCCCCTCTGCACCCACCATTTGCCGTGAAAACTGATGCCTACCAGCTCCAGCCGGGGCGCCGCCGATGCGGAAACCTGGAGAGGCGGCTTCCCCGAAGCAGAGGCTAAGTCTTTATTTATTTATTTTGCCGTTCCTTTTGTTGATATGTTCAGAAAGGAGGGGGCTGGGGGGTTGGGGGGAGGGAGGAAGGGGGACACGTCTGTGTTGTAAGAAAGTGGTGGAAACAAATGAAACTGTGTTGGTTGGTGTGAAGGTTTCTGCATGACCAGAAAAGGTCCCTTCTGGGGCTCCATTGCAATGGCGCGTTCGACACTGGGGCCTTCCTTCCCGCCCCAACCAGCAGGACAGCCCGTCTTCACCTGCAACCTCTGTAGGTCCCTGCCACAGCCTACAATTCCCGCTGGAGGCACTGAAATGTCACCTATTCGAGATGTGGCATCAGTGCTGCAGGGGTCACCTCCAGATCCACATGGGCTCACTCACTGCCCTAGAGGGTAGTTGGGTGTTCTTTGGGCCAGACACCAACAAATACTGGAGTAGCAGGCTGATATGTGTTGTTGGGAATAGGGTTTGGTGCATCAAGGTAAGGCTATTGCGTGGTCCAGCTCTAATCTTAAATTCCTGGGGCACAAATTCTTCCCTTACATGTGCAATTTTCACCATGCCCCTAAGAGCTGTGAGCATCCCTATCAGCAGCACAGTCTTGTCCTCAGAACTGCTGCGAAGTCTTCTTGTTCGCAAATTATTTAGGTAACCATGCCTGCAAGCCTAACTTTAAAAAGCGGGAAAACTGTTCTTCAAGCAAAAATAAGTGGCCCACTTGCCCAGCTGGCAGCTGCCAGTGCCACAGCTGGGCCAGACATGGTAGAGCTGAGCTCTGGTCTTGTCTTTCTGGTCAGCGTTACTTTGATTTTCTGTGTTTCCTTCTCAGATTTCTGTTCTAGATGCACATTGTATCTTGTATGATCATGTGTCAAGCATCTGTTTTCTCTCAAAAGGAGGATGAGTACCTCTCAATGGAAATTTTCTGTCTTTGGAAGACGTCTTTTAAAAAGGAACTGTAGTAGTTGTTTGTAATCAGTAATGAGGGAATAAGTTGGAAGGCATACCTATAGGTGGGGAATGAATTTTATCTATCCTGAACACTTAGATTTTTGTAACTGTTATCAAATATTTATGTACTCCTTGTGATGCCCTGAATTGTTTGAAATTGTGAGGAGAAAATTTTGCCCTCTTCTATGATCTGAGGAGCCTTGTGTTCTGTTCCCAGAGTGAAACTATTGCCATGATTACCAGAGGAATTCAGTTCATTGGTTGTTTCTCAGGACAGGTTGAGGAAATGTACCAAGGACGAGACACACAGACTCTTTTCCAATTAAACAATTGGTTTTATGTACTATAATTTAACTGAAAAAGTGCTGTTGGGTTGTTTTATATATGCACATTATATATATATATATGTATTAAAAGGTATGGAAGAAACTTCTGCTTTTGATTAAACATTTACTGATACAATATGGTCAGCTTTTCTCCAACCATTTTCCTGGCTAAGAGACCTTGCACACTTACAGCTTTCAGTGAACGGCTGCTGAATAAAAAAGCTTTGTGATCCACTTGAATGAAAGAGTTCTACCCCACCACAATCACCTTTATTTATTTTTCCCGTTTTTCCTTGTCTCATTCACTACCTCTTTTCCTTCTCACAGTGCTGCCATACTCAGGAATAGAATGGCTCCCTACAGAGAGTATTTTGATGAGCTAAAATGAAAAACTGCTCTCCCACGCTGTCAAGGCGCTGTACCTATGGTGCTCTCAGAGCTGTACCCATCAAGGATGCTCCATTCACACTTTCATTTAAGAAAAAGATTCAGTTGACATTTTGCCTAGGGAAAAATTCCGATTTGCAAACTTTAAATGCGAAAATTGATACAAAACTATAATGGTGTGATTCTGTTACTCAGTGCAGCTTTGCCAAATATTTGCCTTTTGGAGAAATGGTCAGTTATTTTTATTCCTTTGCAACTGGGATTCTTTCACTTGCCCTAAAATTATATATATTTTCTTTTAAGCTCCTTAGATTAAGTTTTCAATATGTTCTGCAGGTTTCAACACTGTGTTCAAGTAACTTCTTTCCTCTATGACTTAAATACTAGTCATTTAATAATTACATATTCTACACAGCCCAAAAGTGGGGAAAAGGCAAAACAGGAGAATATGATTTATAGTTCCAGTGTCCATATACCTAAAGAACCTATCTAAATCCTCAACTTAGTATTTCTATAAAAAGTGTAAGATCTATGTAATGTTCTCTTTTTGTTTCCTGAGGAACAGTTGCTGTCTGTGGCTTTGTCTTCCTATGCAGTACCTGAATATAGTCAAGTTAATGAAAATGTAGATGCTATTTTCAAAGAAAACACACCAAAAAAAGGGAGGGAACAGGGCATTATAACAGCCTTGGCTACATATATGGCCATATATAACAGTTTTACTAAATATTTTTCTTTCATTGCATAATGCAACCATCTTCTCAACTCATACATTTATAAAATACCTTTGTGGTCTCCTACAATACACAGAAAATTGAACAAAGCTACAGAACAAAAGCAATCTATACCAAATCTGACCTGTTGGGAACTATTTCTTGTAGAGACCAAACCCAAGCACACTAGAATTTGAAAATGAGGGTGCAACTTTACAATGTACTGTAACACAGTCTAAGATAACTGGCAGCCTGAAGCACAAAAGTATTCAGGAGCCAGTGGATGCAACTCCAGAACAGCAGATGATATCACTGCATCGTTGGCGTATTCACACAGCTTCCACAATGTTCCTCAAAAAAGCTCCTTGAGAACCAGGCAGACACTGTGACAGCAGTTTGCCAGAAAATTCTGTTTTCATGGAATTGTTTTAATTCCTGGCATATGCCTGTTGATATCCTAAGTGATGGCCACTGAAACTACTTTGTACAGCTCCTAGTGCTCCCACCAGAAAGAAAACTCTCTTTTGGAGCATGTGGTAGAGCTGCCTGCCTAGAGACTACAGCGGCCTTTAAATAGACCCAGGGACCCCATGGGACCCTGATCCAGTCTCGGCTTTCTTCCTGTGCGAGGCACACAGACTACTCCTGACCCCAGAGTTGCTCCCTGTTTTCAGCTAATGAGCTGTGAAGGGATGGAGGGCAACAAAATGCCTTCAGTGGTAACCAGGTGCAGCTGGTAGAAATGGAACTTAACATTAGTAAATGATAAAACTGAAGAAATAAAATAAAGCTTTTGCTTTTATTTCTGTTTTGGAGGATGTGATATGAATCTATAATTGTAACCATGATTTACATTTTTTTAATCACCCTTTGATAACAATATATTCACCCCTATGAACTAATAACACATGGAATTACTAAATATAATTGCTAATATATCTTTACTGTGAATATTATAGATTGATGCATGCTGGTACTTTTGATTTTGAAGCCACTTGGTACAGAAAAGGTGAAATTGAAAGAGACTGCTAATAAATCGTCAAATGGTGCTAAGGAACTTGAATAGTCCCATTTTTTAATCAGCTACATGTCATTATTTATAGTTTAAATTGTCTGTGAGTACTCCTTTGAAACACTTTCATCTGCCCATGTAAAGGAAAAAGAAAGGAGAATCTCTTGTAGCAGGGAGTTTGCTGTTTTACTGAGTAAATATTCAGACATTACTTTTTGTGGCAGACATGTGGTCACATGTATCAAGTTCTGTCCTTGGGAGGTTTTGCTGCATTTGTTTTCTTTTTTTTGGTTCCACAAAAGCTACAAGTCAAACTTGAAAATGTATTGACAAACCAAAGGAGTTTGTTGAGACATTGACAATAGCTGCTGTCTTTTGTTTTGTCAAAAGTCTACCATGATATTTCAGGAAAAATATTTCATTCCACAACACATGTATAGAAATCCTATTGGGATGCAGAAAACTATAATCAAGTTTTGTTCCAAGTTAATAAGACTTTGCTGGAAGAGGGGTTGAAATTGAATGTCTGAGGGCAAAAGTGTTTTAAAGTGCTCTCTATAGCAATAATTTAAGTACAAAATACAGCCTTCAGGCACCCATTTATTTAGAAGTTGCTAAGTGCAGACAATCTGTGACGACCCTCACCTGCTTACGGCAAAGAGAAAAAAAGGTCAATCGTTAATCATATCTATGTACTGCATTTGTCAGAAAAGGAATTAACTTCATGCTTGTTCAGCTTTCTAGTCTAAAAGGCAATACTATGAGGAGTAAGGTTTTTTGAGATATTTGATCTCTAGGAACTGACAAAGAGCATCAGCCTGTAGCATATAAACCTCTACTCAGACTTAGCTCACCAGCTACATGTGCTAGTTTTCATCTGGTAACCTAGAAACTGCAGGGTAGTTTTCCATTAGATAATATAACTCTCTTGAATGGCTGTGCATTTTAGCATGAAATATAGAATTATTTACAAAATACTAAAAAGGAAGGAGTAATGAGTTCCAATTAATCTCTGCTTTAGTGTTTAATATCAGTGTATTTTGGCTTTTTTTATGCCTGCTGCAAAGGAGTAAGTGTGGCTTTTATCCACACACGGAATGGAGTGAACAGTGAAAAAAGTGTGAAACGCTGCTCTTTGATTATGAGAATAGATCCAACAGCACCAGAAAATTTCATTTTTCCATACATCAACGGAAAATACTTGTGACTCTTTCCAAACACACTTATTACACAAGAGGACATATTAGAATTTTACATTTTTAGCCACATAGAACTGGTCAAAATGCCTGCCTATGTTTTGTAAGTAGAAGATAATGACTGTGCAACACCACTGTAGTGACATAACTTTAAAATCAAAGGGCTGGATATATGAATTCTGTAGTTATAAGGTCTTGCACTACATGAAGTGTGCTGTGTTTGTACTTGATAGTATAAATAAATGCTCTTCACTTTTTATTTTAGATAAAAAGGTGAGGTATATTGGAAACAAGGATAAACTTATGGTGGAATGAAAGAAACCACAAAGAATATTGACTCCCTTGTTGAAACAATAAGTTTGTCTCCCTGTCCAGGTCCTTAAAAGACAGTAAAAGGTGATGAGTGAAGGTCTTGTATATTCAGCAATTATTTAAATTTCATTGTGCTTAGAAACCTAAATATTAGAATCTGCTGGCGAACTGGTGGTGCTATTGGAGAAAATGGAAGATTCACTTTGTAGAGATTTTTATAAATTTATGCAACTTGACAGATTTTTACAGACACAAAACACATATGAAAGTAACTGAGGTTTAAGTATGATTAAATAGAATTTAAGCATTTGACAATGTCCATATTGATATGAATATTGTTAGCTGTAATGGAGACAATATTTCCTTTTAAACTGAATGCAAGCTCAAAAAGTAATAGGTTCTCAAATATTAAGAAGTTAATCTTTTTAAAAATCACATTTAAAGTCTTAAAGAATGAATTTCATTGGGTTTATTTGTTGCTTTGATACAGAGATCTTCAGGAGGTTCAACAGATTTACTATGTTCTCTTACAATCCTGAGATTTTCAAGTGCATTAATATATTTTACAGTAGATTTTTTCCTGTGAGAATATTTGACATGAGTGGGCATAGAAAATGGCACAAAATTCATTGTCTGGTTTGGCCATTCCATACCAATAACCAAAATAAGGGTTTCAGTTAAATGTTTATTCTCATCACTGCTCCTATACTTAGAATAAATTACATAAAATAAATTTTTCCTTGTGGATGTTAATTGTAATATTTCCTGCTTTTCCATAGATAACGGGCTGTGACAGGAGATATCCAGAACTGCTTTTTTGAAATTGTTTTGATTTGAGATGGTTGCAAGGAAAAACAGAAAACACATGAAAAAGGAATTGTTATGACTTCTTACCAAAGAATGATACATGCTAAACTTTTATTTCTTTGAAAATCATCATTATAGAAATGTAGAGAAATTTATGAAAGGAAGTGAAAAATGTGGCAAGAAATCAACAAAAACAAAACCAGATTCTGTAATCTTTAAAAAGAGAGAAATTGGCAAACACTTAAGCACACAACAGTGTGCTAGGTTGAGCACAAAACACTTTCCCATAGTATTCAACTTCTTCTCCTTCATCAGAAACTGGAAACAATGTCCTGTGTTCAGTCTGATTCACAGCTCTACATTACTCTGTACAAAGCATGATGGGCTCATTTTCCCTAACCTGGCTGGAAGAACCAAGTACCATAATGCCTAACACACATTATGCAGTATAAAAAAACCAGTATTTTGCACAATGCACCACCAGTGTTATCACACAGCTTTGTGGAATTCACTGCAGCCAGGTATTGTCAAAAGTATGATTTAGAATGTTTCACAGCTCATTGAATTCTGGGTGATATCTTCCTTTATGATCCATAAAAATACATACAGAGGTGCTCAACCTTTTTTTCTTCTAATTTCAAAATATTCTGACAGAGTTCTGTAGGAAGGTTCCTCCCATTCTACTGTTGTTGGGTAAATTATAGACATTTCAAAAAAAATAATAAATATCTGCTTAAGACAGGTTTATTTCAGAGGGAAAAAAGAGATTAATTTTAATACATGCAAATATTCCTAACATTCCTCTTTTCAAATACACATACAGACATCAGCACAGAGAAAAGTATTGAAGAAAAAAAAAAATACTTTATATCTTAGATAAAATCTTATAAGCTATTGATCATTTAAATATTTTATTTAATTTACTGGTTAATGCTACAAATTAATTATTTAGTGTAACAATCTAATTGAATAAACTCTTAAGACAGGTGTTAAATACTCTTTAGAACCACTGAGATGCTTTTTTTCTAAAACTACAAAGTTGTCTTTATAAGTAAGCATAAGGTTAGAAGAAATATGTCAGCCATGGCTAGTAATTCATATTAATTATTTTATCTAGCTATACAGGCTAACAATGTGGATAGTGGGGAAATAATCTTTTGAAACTTGTATTAGATAGCTTTGTGCATTTCCTTTAGTATTTCTAGCTCAAACATTATATCCTAAGTTGTATGTGAGATATATAAGACTATAGCACAGATAGTAAGGTAAATCTACAGTTTAATGAATCAGATTTAAACAGGGCCAAGAAATTAGTCAGAGCAGTGGCACTAGTCAGTCCTGTGGCATGGTGGCAGCCTGCCCCAGTAGTATCTGAGCACACACTTCTGAGGCTATCTCAGTATTCCTAAGCCTCCCTGCTTTAAAGGATATGTTGGCAAACTCGTCACTCGGTTATCCTGTGGTTCCCATGGCTCATCCTCTTCTCATAACTCTCAATGCATTGACTTGAAAAGAGCAGCAACAACAAAAAAGCTATTAAAAAAAAGCAGAGACAAGGACCCTCTTGGTGGAAGAGAGTCCTACCAAGCCCTGCAGGCTCTTCTTCATCCTAAAAAGATGAGCTGTTGCTGTGCAGGAGCCCAACTTCAAAGGACAGGGGAGAGAGCATGCTTACCTGTCTAATGCAGGCTGGGAGAGAACTGGGAAGGGTCTCCCATTTCCTGAGTGATTTGGCAGACGTGATTTCATGTGGCAGTGAAAAGCCTGGTCCAGTTTAGTGTTTGGAAGCTGTGGGTCTCTAGCCTTGGGGTGGAACCTTTTGCCTGAGATGTCACAGGAGCAGTGGTCACCCTGAGCCCACACATACCCTGACACCACATCCCAGCAAGGCACAGCTGTGACACTATGTCTTATCCCTAGCCCAACACGCTTTTCCAGGAATGTGTGTGTTTTGGAAATGTCTTTTATGTTGTCTTGCTTACACCTTGAACAATACACTCTGAGAATTTGACGGGCAGCTTCTACTCCTAGGGTCTGCAGCCTAAAAGAACATTTTAGCCACTTATCTTGTATACAGAAAAGCTGGTTTTGGAAATAACCCTTTAGTGTCAGACTTACAAAGCTGTTCAGAGGATTAACTCCTATTGAGCATCTCAGCTTTGAAGGAAATTGCACTAGGGAGTACTCATTGAGGCAGAGCTTCAGCTACTGTAAATAAATACCATTAATTTGGGCTTTCACAGAGCTCCATAACAGAGTATATTTAAAGGAGCATGATGCACATAAGATTTAAAAGTAAATTTGAAAAATAAGAGTCCTGGTGCCCTGACATCTCTATAGTTACAAAAATAATAATCATCCTCTGAGGACCTCCTTAAAAAAAAAATCACACAAAAAAGCACACACACAAACAAGCAAAACCAAAAAATCCCCACCCCTAGAAATGAAACTGGTAGTGAGATCAATCCTCTGAACAATCCTTTGAATATTAAATCCTCCCTTTTTCTGAAGTATGTTTCTTATTTGGAACCCTCAGGAGTAAACTAGCAAATGCTGGTAGCAGCTATATTTCAAGTGTTCTGCCCGCTGTGTTTCCTTGATCCTCTCCTCCCGTCCCCCAGTCCCACGATAAGACCTGGAGAGGAGGCAGGTGGTTAAGTTGCACAGTATAGTTAGAACAAGCTATTTCTGAGCATGCCTAACAGAGAAGGTGGCTGGGAATTTAGGTCAGCTGGGGGTCATAAAGAGGGTTAATTGCTGAACTACCCTGCCTGAAGTAGGGGTGTGGAAGAGTCCAGCTGCTTGTGTTCCTTGGTGGGCCCAGCATTGTTTTACCCCAAGACACACAGCCAAGGGAGAGCAGACTAGAAAAAGGAGCAGTATCATGAACATATTACAGGCAGAGAAGTTCTTTAAGGTAAAGTAATGTATATGAAATGAATAAAGAAAATAACTTTCCCCTTCCTTCATAGACTGGAAGTTTTTGTCTGGTTGACCCGAACTCTGGTGACTGCCTTTCCTACATTCAGAAGTCTTTTTCAAAGAGATGTGAGCTTACACCCTTTAAAGACTAAGTTGTACTACTGATCATTGAATATTCCTTTGAACATTGAATTAAAACATTTCCCATTTTGACCCAATGAAAAAGATTATTTTTATTATTATGGAAAAGGTTTTACTTTTCTTTAATCTCATATATTCATTTTCAAATCACATAGATAGTAGTTAACCCAAAATACCCTTCAAGGTATTCAACAATCACTGTTTTAATGACAATATATTTTATTATGTTTATTTTCTTTCAGCAAAGTTTCTAAGACCTTAAAAAAATCCACAGAACTATTTTACAGTTTAGATGGTTTGCTGAGCTGGTTGCTATCCATGGTTGTGTCATTTTGCTTCACTGATTCTTTTTTCCTCCCTCTTAACTATTTTAGTGAGTGGTACAGCATGAAATAGCATAGTAACTGTTCAACATAAAACTTCCAAATTACAGTTGATGGAGTTTATTCAAAATAAATTTTTAAAATTCCAAAAGGAAAGGACAAATCTGTAGGAAATGTTGAAACTAAGCAGCAATAAACAATGGTTTGTTTACAATGGAAAGTCTATTTATATAATCCAAACAGCAAATATTGGGTCCCAACCTGCCAGACTCATAAAACATTTAAAGACTTCTAATATTGCATTTCAAATTGAGCTTTTGGAAGTTTCTCTTGTGTGTAGCTTACTAGTTTTTAAACCAATAAGAATATTAATGTTTGGGGTTGTTTTCTTTTTGGTTTTGTCACTTGTTCAGCTGCTGTTCACTGATATTACTATGGTACAAAAATGAAGCTGTTGTTTTGTGATTTTTTTTTTTGAGAAAAAGTATAACATATTGTTCTTATTATGCTATGTGTTATGTGATTTTCCCTGTGGATTATCCTGGTAGAACTAGTATGTTTACAGAATTTGAATTAAAACAGATTACATACCTGCAAAGGAGTGCACTAAAGATTTTGTTTTGTCTTCAAATCTCAACAATAAGCAAGTGTTTCAAAAAGACACGCTGAAAGTACCAAGAGATAAAAGAAATAAGGGCAGTACCACAAATAATCAAAACAATCTGGTATTCCAGATATTTAACCTCAACTTCTTCCCTTTTCTTACCCTCAGTAAAGCAGGGATGTATTCTGACAGTCTCTAAAAGCAGTAAAACAATACCATCTTCTCAGCTTATGGATGTTTGTGTATTAGTATCAGGACTCCAACTGAGACCTTCTGTGTAATCAAATCCATTACATTGTTACTTTGGCATTTTACTATCAGAGGGATCATAAGAAAGGACCCAATGCTACAAGGTTTCATTTGTAAGGCTGTGCACAACTTAGAATTATCTGCTATGACATTTGATAACTCAGGAAATAAACCAACTTGTTAGTAGTACAGTTCTGTGTATCCTCATCAATTTCACATTCGAGCATTTGTATATCTGAAAACCTTCAGCAAGTGAAATTAAAAAAAAAAAAAAAAAAAAAAANAAAATAAAAAAAAAAAAAAAAAAAACAACATCCATTGCAACGTGTCCTTGTTCAGGAGTACAGAAAACCAAAACAAGATGTTTTTAATGGTATATGACACTGTAAACAATTTAACTCTTCAGCAGAAGTTGAAAGGACACTTTAGTTTAGGATTTTAGATTTTTAGCTGAAGTGTAGCTTAACCACATGATGCTATTATTGCTCAAATAGTGAAGAGAAGCCTTTTGTCCATGTTATTCTCAGAAGAATCTAGGTTCCTATTTTCCTGTGCACATGAAAATGCTTTCCACTGGAGAAGGCTTTTCACTGTCAGGCTGTGATGCTCTTCCTAGCCAGCCAAGCAGAACTGGTACCTGGTTTGTAGGCAGGCTCATGATGCCTCCACCTCTAACCCCTTTCAAAAAAAAATCTGAACAAAACCCCCAAACACCGTATCCAGCAACATTTTTACATATGCTTCAAGAGAAAAGTGGAATCAGGCATATGTGAGCCAGGCACAGAGTTTGCAATATGCCAACATAGATGATTATCAACTGTCATGGTAACACCTTCATTTACTGGGATTCTGTCCTCAGTCATTCAGCAGATTTGTAAAAGGCCAAAAGATGCATAGATCCTAATTCTCAGGTCTGCCTTCTAGTTCTGTTTGTTTAATGATTTTTTTTGTCTGTTTGTTCAATTTCTCTGTGATTTCTTCTGTAGGTTTCAGCAGAATATATACGTATGCACACATAAAACTACATATGTATGTGTATTGTTTTGTAAATGTTCTCAGTCATGCTATCTTCTGCTTTGCACCATTTACTCATATACCTTCCATGTTGTCATTTATTTTTTGCTCAATTAAACCTTATAATAAATTATTAAATATACCCTGACAGTGACAGAGTCATCCTGTTTTGTTTTCTTCTGGGCAAGGTGGGGAGTGAAGGGGGTGAAGGAGTGGGGGAGGAGAGAGGGGCAACACTTCAATTGCATCCCCAAAAAGAAAATACTGAAATTTCTGTGGTGAGTGGCAAGAAGCCTGTAAAATCACAAAGCTGTCAAATACCAAGCTGCTGTTCATACTTTTAAATCTAGGTTCAAGGAGCCCTGATACATTTGCTTTTGTCAGCTGAATAGCACTGTTTGCCCGGCAGCAAAATAACACCTCCTGTGTGGAAAATCATGGGTATTTATTATTCCATAGTGCTCTCAATTTGAGATGCAAAAACCATGAACACAGACAACATCAAACACATTTTCTTTCTCACCCTGTCACACTGGCTTCTCATACACATAGATTTCTCAGACCAAATTAACTTTATGTAAACTTGCAGCTATATTCTGCATATTAGAGCTGTTCTAAAATTGATACTTAAGAGTCCACCTAGCAGGTAAAAGTGTTTCTACTGCAGAAGGACAAATAGTCTCTAATCCTGCATATGAATTAAGGGATAGGGTAACTGTAGGCTGCAATACAACACCAACACAGCCAGGATCACGTCACTGTCCTGCCAAAGCAGCCCAGGCTGTGCCCAACAAAGCCAGTTTGGCCTTCCACATCTTGCCAGCACAGAGAAAATAAAGTCTATTCTGTAAATAAAAGGCCTGTGCTTTGATTACTTCATTCTTAAGAAAGAACCTAATGGTCTTTTCTTGTGTTTGTGTGAGACGTTTTTGCAGTTGACATAAATCTCCTGTGTCTGCCTGAGTGATGATTCTTCTCCTCTTCTTTCTCTGCTGTGTATGCCATGAAAATTGGATCTTCCATAACTGTTAGGAGACTAGAAGAACATTAAAATGAAGAAAAAAAGTTAAAAAAAAATAAAAAGTGGAAGGTCTTTTCTCAAAGCAGCTACCACTTTGAAAAAGCAGAAAAATTTTTCTTCAGATGCTGGTTTATCATTGGGAAGTATCAAACCATCAATAAAAACAGGGTTTTGTCTTGTTTTCTGTGAATACATTTCAGATTCAAGTCATATAAAAAAAAAAATTTCCAGCTGTCTCACATCTGGCCCCTGATAAAGCACCAGTGAAATGCCCCCTTCCCCTTACACGCTCTTCAGATACTGGTACAGACTCTCCTACATCCATCTGAAAATATTAATTATTCTGAAGCTATTGACTATGCTAAGAATTAGTCATTTCATTATGGTAACTTAATATTATAGTGCCTGGGTGAACTGGTATGGAGGAAAGGCAGTTTCTGAAGCAAAAGACTGGTCCCTAACCTATGACCACTCTAGGAAGAGCTTCATCCTGGCACAAACAGTGACCCAACTGTCAGAATGAGAGAAATTTGCTTTATAAGGACATCTTGACAGTGGAGCTTGTCACTGGATCACAGGGGAGTGAGATCTGAGAGGAGATAGGTGGAAAGCCAGTCTCACATCCATTGTGAAGCACACCCCCCATTAAGGGTGTGAAGAGACATGACAGAAGTAGTAAAATTGGCTTCTGTCTTTCAACTTCTAAACTTCAGGGATTTTTTTAAGGGGGGAAAATATGACTCAGTGTTCCAAAACACACAGATTACTACAATGCACACAAAAAAAAAAAAAAAGGAGATGCACTGAAGCAAAGCATCTATCCTAAAGAATTGTAGTGAAGCTGAACTGGAAAAAACAGATAAGACAAACAGGACCATAGAATGTAATTTTTTGCCTCAGTTTTACAAGTGACAACTTGAGGAAAAAAGACATTATAATGATGCAAATAATAAAAAGGCTATAAAACCAAAAGAGATAATTTGTTAATAGCATGGAACAGAGTAGTCTCTAAATGTAGCTGCAAATCATTAATATTCATCAGAAAATAATGAATACTAGAAATCATATTTTAAAACCTTCAATTGTTCCTGTCTGTATAATTTAAAATTAAACTATAAGATTCAGGGGATATAAAGAGTAGACACAGAAGGGAAAGATATTAGTAAATATACAGTGCAAACCATGAGTATGCTTCATCTTAACAGGTGACCTTACCCAGATCTGAGTACAAAACTTTTGATAAAGCCTCTGTGATCCTCCTTTCTGAAGACATACATTTAATCAGAAACATAGTGGAGGATCATACATGATAGTATAGTCTAAAATATCTAACTCAAATATAATGCTGATACTGCTTACTTTCCCACTGAAATCAATACATACAATAAAAATCCAGGCAGACTTGCAAACTGCAACATGAGATTAGCACTATGTCATAAAAGCCTGAAAAGGCCCTTTGGTTTGGGGAAATACTAATATGTTGCCCAAAATTCCAGCAGCCTCATATATTGTGGTAGGGGAAGGAATACATTTTATGCTCACTATTTTTTACCTTTGGAAGAAGAGAGATTCTTGATCAGACCACTAGAGATATTTGGCAGGAAATACAGCAAATTTAGATAATGGTTTAAACTATTAATCTGGAATATAAAATCAGAGGACATAAAATACTAGAAGATGTAGAAAACTTCAAGATATCACCTGTTCTCTGTGCTCAAAATAGGAATATCAATATCTCGCTTGATGTTATTCCTGACAAATCACCCTTAACATGTTGTTTCAGCTAATGCCACAGTAAGCATTTAGCTGACAAAGGAACTTGAGTAAGCCATTTGTTTTCCCAATGTGAAAAAAAGGGGAAAAAGCAAGAAAATGTCACTTTTTCATAGGCTGTAGGAATGATAGGTTTTTTCAAGTTGAAAATTCTGGTGAGAAAATTCAATTTTTTACGGATACCTTTTTTTTGTTGTTGTTCTGAGGAGGATAGTAGGATGAGCTGTTAACACATCCATCCTTACCTGCTTCAGTAGATTATGCAAATTGATTTGTTACTCACTTTTTTGTGATAAGCAGTGGTGATGCAGAAGATCAGTAGGAAATCTACCACTGAAACAGCAGCAGAAATCCTTTCAGCTAGGTAGGTAATAAGCCATTTCTGATCACAAGCTGCTAAAAATATGATTGGAATAAACACAATCGGTAATTTGTAAAATTATAAATCAGCATGAACTTTTTATGACAAACTAAGCTGAAAAATCAATTATTATATAAAGACATTATTTTCCATGACAGATCATGCTCAATATTCAGACTTTATAGCAATTTCCTCATTTCTAAAAAGTCTTTGTTATGCTGAACCAGCTCTTAACAAAGTTATGACTGGGATGACCAAAAGTGAGGGAACAGAGCACAGCAGTATGAAGAAAAATAGCTATGCTTTGTATAATCCTTTTCTATCTACTTCCCTCCTCAGTGAGAAAGCAGTCCATACATAAGTTACTCAATATATGGTTAATAAAAGTAATCCGTCTACTTAAATTAATGTTCTTGACTATCACAAAGCTGCGAGGAGTGGCCAATACCCCAGAGAGCTGTCTGAAAGCTGCCCTTCAGAAGGACCTTGATGAGTTGGAGAGATGGGCAGACAACTGTCCAAAATTCAGTGACGGCAAATGCAGGGTCCTGCATCTGGAGAGAAATAACCTAACACAACAGTACAGGCTGGGGCTGATCTGCTGGAAAGCAGCTCTGCAGAGGGGTGCAGTCCTGCACCCTGTGGGGGTCCTGGTGGACAACAAGCTGTCCATGAGCCAGCAGTGTGACCTTTTGGCCAAGAGGGCCAATGGGATCCTGGGGTGCATTAGGAAGAGCATTCCAGCAGGTCGAGGGAGGTGATCCCACCCCTCTACTCAGCCCTAGTGAGAGCACATTTGGAGTGCTGTGTCCAGTTTGGGGCTCCTCAGTGCAAGAGAGACATGGAGCTCCTGGTGTGGGTCCAGCACAGGACAACAAAGGAGATCAAAAGGCTGGAGAGTCTCTTTTATGCGGAAAGGCTGAGGGAGCTGGGTCTGTTCAGCCTCAAGGAGAGATGACTGAGAGGAGACATCATCAATGTCATGGAATCACAGATTCAGCTAGGTTGGGAAAAACCTTTGAGATCAAGTCCAACCTATAAGTCCGTAAGTATCTGAAGGAAGGGTGCCAAGAAGATTAATGAATCCAGGCTTTTCTCAGTGGTGCTAAGCAATAAAACAAGAGGCTATGGGCAGGAACTGAAACATTTAGGTGGATCTTTAGGAAGATCCACCTAAATGTGAGGAAGAGCTTTACTCTGTGTGTGCCCAAGCACTGGGACAGATCGCTCAGAGAGGCTGTGGAATTTCTCTCACCGGAGATATTCAAGAACTATCTGATCACAATCCTGTGCCATGTGCTCCAGGATGACCCTGCTTGAGTGGGGAGGTTGAACCACATGACCCACTGTGTTCTCCTCCAACCTGACCCTGTGGTTCTGTGATTGTAAAGATTGTCCCATTGGAGATACCAAACAATCATTCAGTATTTCCATGGGCAGCAAATTATTTAGCAGAGTAGCAGGAAGATCATCTCAATGCTCAAGAGATTTTCTGTTCAGTACTGCACACAATGGTATCAGTTATTTTCTGCTCTAATTCAAAAACAAATCTGTTTTGCTTTTAACAAAAAAAAAAAATTCACAAAAATTTAATGTTATCATCCCCCTTTTTTAATCACCTAGTATTGTACCTGCCTTGATGATGGATGCCAGGAAACCTGCCCCATTTGTTCTAGCCTAAGTAAAAAGGCTTTCTTTAAAAACTGCAACCTAGGCTGGAAAAGTTAAACTTATAGTAACTTTGCTTGAAGCACATTGATTTCTCTGGAATGGAGTCATATCGTCAAATGAAACTAAATAACAACCTGTAATAACTAAAGGTAGAGACAGACAAGAAAATGGCTTAAAGGTATAAGCCAATTTATTCTTATAGTGCTCAAGTCTGTGGTGAGGTAATATTTTTTAGGAGAAAAGCATTGAAGAAAAGAACAGAGGTAATATTATCAAAGTCACACAAGTAATCCATAGCTTAAGTTCTCAGCTCTTCATTGGTGA